TTGTAGCCCTGGATGGGGGTTTGTTTTAGAACAATCGATTACAATTTTAAGGTAGTTTTTGTTTTGTTTGGCAGCGTTTGTTTTGTTTTTCCACTTTTAAATGCGTGATCATGGTATTTGTTTGTCTTTTAAAACTGGATTCATCCTTCACTGTCATCAGAAACTCATTTTTCTTGCTTCTATTAACTTTGCGATCGGTCGGGATGAAGAAGGAGCTCTCCTGCACATGTAACGAACCGTCTGATCATGACTGTATACAGTAAGTAGCCTGTACTGTAGCCTTGTTCTCATATTTATTCGCTTCCAGAAGGTTTTGTTCCTCGTCCAGAATCTACCGGGTTCTTGGTGGTTTCTGTTTGAGTTCATCATCTGGGTCAGTTTTCAGTCCAGACAGGAGGAGTGCCTCATGAAGTGTCTGACCACAGTACAGAGACTACCTGTACGCCAGAAAAGTGCTCAACAAATGAATGTATATCTGAGAGGATATACTGGTGGATAAATGATCTAGGAATCAGTCCTAAAGCTTGTTTAGGATGCGCTCAGTCACTTCAGTCTGCAAATTCATAAACAAATCCCTCAATGATTGTCAAAGCAGTTTTTTTTTGCACTGTCAGGGTCTCATTAAATCGCACTTCTCCATGCTTGCAGTCGATGAAACCATTTATAAGCAAATCAGTCAAAGAATTTCTCCAGTTCATAGTACTCCCCTCAAAAATGTATACTGCTTAATAAAAATGAAGCATATTTTAGGAGCCATTAAAGGAATACTTTACATAAAAATATGATTTTTCTGTCATTTATTCTCCCTCATGTCATGTAAATAGTTACAAAACATAAGGGGGAGTAAATGTATACTTGCGAACTCCATCATAAGTGTTTTTTTTTAATACAGATGTCAAAGTACTTTCATAATTCATCATAACTTTCCTAAATCATCATTTCCATTCTCAATACTGTAACTGATAACCTGGTTTAAATAAAATAACATTATTACAGTTTGATATCTGTTTACTCATTTACTTTTAATTGTCAAATTATTTTACAGTGCTTGAGTCAAAAGGAGATTTATATGAAATTGTCATAAAATGTGAAAATTTCATTGCTGTAATTGATCATTTTATTAAACATTGCAGATTTATACAGTAAATATGTTATTGAAGTTTTAGAAATGAAATAGTACAGTAATGATTTTCATTTCATTATGCTTTTTGTTAATTACATACATTTAATTTGAATATATTAGAATTCAAATAAGATTTTATATTTTTTCCAAAATATACCGTTGAAGTCCATTATTAGCCACCTTGTTTTTTTCTCAAATTTCTGTTTAACAGATAGTTTTGTCAACATGTCTAAGCATAATAGTTTTAATATCTCTAATAACTGATTCATTTGATCTTTGCCATGATGACAGTAAATAATATGTTTGACTAGATATTTTTCAACACTTCTATACAGCTTAAAGTGACATTTAAAGGCTTAATTAGGTTAACTAGGCAGGTTAGGGTAATTAGGCAAGTTATTTTATAACGGTGGTTTATCGGGAAAAAACTATAGCTTAAAGGGCTAAGAATTTTGACCTTAAAATGGTGTTTAGAATTAAAAACTGCTTTTATTCTAGCAAAATGAAACAAATCAGATTTTCTTCAGAAGAAACATTTTATCAGACATACTGTGAAAATGTCCTTACAGTTAAACATCATTTGGAAAATATTTAAATGTTCTAAAAACTTTTCTTTTATGGAAGCTTAAATGTTTTAAAGTAATTTTAGATTCAACATTTATTTTTCTTCATATAGAGTTTTTACATCATAATTGCAGAAATGGAAAAATTCAAACTAATAAAACTAATAAAATCAAATAATAAAATAATAAAATTATGCACCAAACTAATAAAATTAAAGATGATTTCTGTTTAACTTTTTCAGCAAAACATTTTAATAGATTTAAATGAGTTTACATTCAATGTCTCTCATATATAGGGATAATCATGAATTAATCATCGAATGCAGTGATGCAGGAAAATCTCATATTACAGCATAGTTTAATAATAATAATGAGTGTATATACATCTTTCATGATATATAATCCATAATAGAAGAAAAATCTCATTACAGTATGAATTTAAAATGATATTACCATTTGAATATTTCTAAAATACACAATTATTTTACAGTACTGAGAGTTAGACTTTTATCCTTCATATTTTGGTGTGAAAAATTATTAGAAAAACACAATTTGTAACTATTTTTTGTGAATTAGTGGGTAATTGTTAATTAGTGCAATCTGCAGAGATATATATTTGTTATTTATATTTCTTCTGTTGAACGCAAGAAAAATATATTTTGAATAAAGTAAAAAAAAAAAAAACCTGTAACCATTGACATCCATAGTAGGAAAAACAATTACTATGAAAGTCAATGGTTAGAGGTTTCCAACATTTTTTAAAAACATCTTTTTGTTTTCAACAGAAGAAATGCCAATAGGTTTGAGACATGGGTGAGTAAATTGACAGAATTATCATTTTTTGGTGAACTATCCCTTTAATGATGGTTGCACATGTTCTGCCATAAATAGATTTAAATCTGAAATATCAGACACTCAAATGATATGTTAACTGGTTCTTTGACATTAAAACTAAAGCTTTCTGATCTGTAAAAAATGTTACTTTAAAAAAATGAGTTAACTCATTTTTATAATCACTTAAATTTACCGCAATATGTTTACTTGCTTTTTTTAATAAGTCAACTAATTACTTTTATAAGCATTAAAGCTTCACATATTTAAATAATAATCAGTATTAATACCAATATTAATACCAACATTTTAATAATAGTGTTCAGTAGGGTGTAGTTTTCTCAAGATCTTCATGAATAAGCTTATATGCACCTTGTTATGCCTTAATAACCACAAACACTCAGGACTTTTTAGGTCAGTGTATTCATAACAAGCTAATAGTAAAGAATAGTGCATTTATATAGCTGCATGATTGCAAGCGATTAAATAAATTCCTGATTAACATTATTTTGGATTAAACTTCTATATGATCATAAACGCATAATAAATATTCTCCAGTGTTCTGCTTTTGTGATGTTATGAAAATACCGGATTCCTCGCCTGTGCCATCCCAAACTCATATCTCTGTTTTATTTTTATTTTTTTATTGTATTATTATTTTATGGAGACAGTTTATACATCATTTTCCAGAACCTTTACTACATTTCTGACATTTTTTCTGGCTGTTCTGGATGTCAAATGCAAAGATAATGAACTATGAGTTTATCTTTTTATTTGCAGTCAGATGATGATATCTTGTATAAATGTACAGTAATCGAACATGAGCGTTCCTTTGTATCTTCCTTTTTAACCTTCACTAAAGTATAAATGTTTTCAGGTTTCCTTTTTATATGAGTTGTATAGAGCAGACTGTATTGCTTGCACTGCATTAATATTCTTTTGTTCTTTGATTTCTGTTTAACATGTATCGCTCTGAATTAAAAGTCCTTTTAAAACTATGGTGCAGATTTGATTGAGTCCTTTTAAAAGAGCAATAAACATTTTACACTTCATAAGCACTTTTTTATTTATTTTGTTTTTCAGTGTATTCTTTTTAGAAGTGGTGAAGAGATATGACTGTACATAGTAAGCACTTTTCAACTCGAACTGCTGGAAGGCTTGAAGCTTACGCTGCTATTCTGAACCAATAATCGAGAACGGAACGCAGTTGAGTTCACACTTAGATGATGATTGATTATAAAGTGTGTTTGGCAAACTGTCCTGGGAAAGAGCACTGAGCTCACAAGATCCTCAAGCCTGGGGCTCCCTCCCTTTTGCTAGGTGAGAGGGGAGTTTGAGCTCAGGTAAATCTCGAGAAATTCCCTGCTGTAGTAGCGAATAAACAGTGACGTTCTTGTTATGAGGCAACAGTGCTAACCACCGGACCACCATGCCACCAATCTACCTTAGATAACCTTAATTGCAAGATGATAACACAGACTTGAGATATGTAAATCAGACTTGCAAAATGTAAAATTAGAATTATAAAACCTAAACATAGAATATTTTTGGGGTGTATGATCACATGTTTTTTTACAGTTCACATTCACAATCATTTACTACGGCTAATTTAATTTATTCAAATTAATTCAATATACTGCATGTCTTAGAATTGTGGTGGAAACCAGAGCACCCGGAGGAAACCCACAACTCCAGACAGAAACGCTAACGGGCCCAGCACCTTCTTGATGTGAGGAGACAAAACTAAACACTGAGCCACTGTGCCGCCCTATCTATAAACTTCTAGAAAAATGTTTTTAAATGGATAAATTTGCATAAATAATAATATTACTTCAAACATTTTTCAGTGTATCTTCTTTTCTGTTTACTTGAAAAAAGAAACGCAAGCAGGTTTGGAACAAGTGGGAGCAGAGTAAATTACATTGTTTAAAACTATCCTTTTAAAGAGGCAATTAAACCCATAACAAAAATTTCTCACCATTTCTTCACCATCGAGTGGTTTATGCATTTATCACTTCTTCTAATTAAAATAAAACAAGATATTTTGAAAAATGTTGGGAGAAAAGCAGCCATTGACACCCATAGTTTGAATAAAAAGTTCTACAGATATCAATAGCGTTTCACTTCCTTTGTGGAACAAGTGGAGGATGAGTAAATGCTGACAGGAGTGTCATTTTTGGGTGAATTATAATTTTAAGCAAAATAATTATAACATTTCTAGGCTATATATTGATATTTATTTTATAAACAACATAACTGTACCTTAAATAAGGAAAGAGGAAAATGTTAGTACTTCCCTAAAGTCTAATATTTAAAAGTACTTACCAACATCTGTTGTGAAATGTCTGACAGTCGCAGTTCACCTTTGTGTTCTTGTACATCTACAAAGTAAACAGACACACTTCAAAAAGAGCTTGATTGTAAAACCAGCTCCAGAACTGCAGGAGACGCTGAAAACAAAATAACCGTCGAAACGCGCACACATGCCTGACCGAAGAAGACAAAAGGAGAGCTACTTTATTCTTCACAGCAGACCATGCATTTGTTTTAGGCTAAATTTTTGGATAAATTGGGTTTGACGCCTACTTAGAGGTAGTTTCTGCGGGTACATTTTAAGATTTATTACACATGTAAAAATGGCAGCAAATCCGCCTGGACAAGGTAAATAATACCGCAATATATCAGTTTGGAAAACAGCTGGAGTGTCAGTTATGAGCTACGAAAATGTGATAAATTATGTTAATAGGGTGAATCCTTAATTAAATAATTAAATACTAAGAGTGCTTAAACATAACAAGTCAAGTTTCAGTCACTATTTGCCAGTGTTTCTGTAAGATTTAGTTTAAATACCGAATTTCATTTAGTGGCTGATATTAACGAGTTTATTTGAAAATTTGATATCAAAACAGGATTTCAGAACAAAAACAGAGTTGCTATTTTAGCTGAGCTGGATAAAGAGAAAAGACGCCTGATCCAGAGTCAAACTCTCAACAACCCAGGAGCCAGGTACATATATTTTATTTATTCTTATTTGTTTGTTGTTTGTTGCATATTGCTGTTATTTCAGCTGGTCTTGCGAGCTTAATAAAATAAAAATCCAAAAAGCACAAATTATGCATTATTTACTCTCCCAGTTTGAGTTTCTTTCTTCTGTTGAACACAAAAGAATGTATTTTAAAAAATGTTGGAAACTGGTAAATAATAACTTTCATAGTAGGAAAAACAAACGCATTGGAATTCAATGGTTACTGGTTTTCAGCATTTTTTTTTTAAATATCACCATTTGTGCTCAACAGAAGAAAGAAACTTACAGAGATTTGTTACAAGTGAAGGGTGAGTAAAGGATGACATATATATATGTGTGTGTGTGTGTGTGTGTGTGTGTGTGTGTGTGTGTGTGTGTGTGTGTGTTTGTGTGTACAGTTGAAGTCCGAATTATTAGTCCCCCTTTGAAAATTTCCCAAATTATGTTTAACAGAGCAAGGAAATGTTCACAGTATGTTTGATAATATTATTTCTTCTAGAGAAAGTCTTGTTTTATTTCGGCTAGAATAAAAAATATTTTAGAATTTTTAAAAAAACATTTCAAATTTATAATTATTAGCCCCTTTAAGCTATGTTTTTTTCGATAGTCTACAGAACAAACCATCATTATACAATAACTTACCTAATTACCCCTTACTTGCCTAGTTAACCTAATTATCCTAGTTAAGCCTTTAGATGTCACTTTAAGCTGTATAGAAGTGTCTTGAAAAATATCTAGTCAAATATTATTTACTGTTATCATGGCAAAGATAAAATCCGTTATTAGAAATTAGTTATTAAAGCTATTATGCTTAGAAATGTGTTGAAAAAATCTCTCTGTTAAACAGAAATTATGGAAGAAAAACAACAGGGGGACTAATAATGCAGGTGGGCTAATAATTCTGACTTTAACTGTATGTTGACCACCTGAAAATGATCAGATTTTCCAGATTTAAGTAAATGGTAATATTTATTTAATTTCTATAAAGAAATTAAAACAATTCTTCCAAATTTCAAACAAAATATAATCATTTAATGGGTGATTTAAATGTCACTGCTGAAAGGGCAAACACTGAAGAGCAAATCCATCAATGTGCAGCTCTAAACAAAGCAAGTCAGTGGCGAGGAAAAAAACCTTGAGAAAAACCAGGCTCTGTTGGGCATGACCATTTCTCCTCTGGCCAAACTTTCTGTGTGGAGCGCAGTCTTGTCGCTGGAGAATGCTGGTCATCCATCGTGGAGAACTGTTGCAGGTGTGGGTAGGTCGCCGGTGGATGATCAGGCTGGCCCACAGGATTGATGCGGGGGCTCCTCTGACACTGGGTCTTTCAGGAATCAATTTCATGCTCTCTACTCCTCCATGACCACCACAGCATCTGCTCAGGATACGTCCTGGTGCAGGATTATGGATACCTTGGCATTATTTCTTCACATGTCTTGGATCGAATCAATGGCGCTGCATAATCTTCAGGGGCCTCGGATAAATGAAAATAGCAGTTATATAAACAAACATAGAAACAATTCCAGAGTTTAGCAGCCATAATTGTGAAGGCTCTGCCTCCTTTACTCGACTTTACTATTCTAGGTACCAGTAGCCCTGAGTTTTGAGAGTGGGTTGGATTGTAACAAAAGGTTAGTTAGATAAATAGGAGCTAGATTATTTAAAGCTTTATAGATAAGAAGCAATATTTTCTAATCAATATGGAACTTAACAGGCAGCCAGTGTAAGGAGGATAAAATTGGGGTGATATGATCATATTTTCTAGACCTGGTAAGAACTCTGGCAGCTGCATTTTGTACTAGCTTAAGTTTATTAATTGAGGATGCTGGGGAACCAGCAAACAGAGCATTACAGTAATCTAGCCTAGAAGTCATAAACTAGCTTTTCTGCATGTAACTTAGCAATATTTCGCAGATTCAGGGTAGATAGACAGTGATTCTGAAAGCAGCATTAACAGTGGATCTGAGAATGCTATCTAACTTTGTCATCCAAAATTTAGTCACACCTACCAAAAATTATGAGCACTGTTACTACAAGTTTTATACTAACAGATTTACTGTTTTTATTTTTTATGTATTTTAAATAAATCATTATTTATTTGTATTTTTAATTATTTATAACCAAACTGTTTTACTAGTATATTGTTATTTGAATCGAAAAGCTAACATGAACACAATATGTTTTCCTTCTCATTCCCAGCATTCCCCTCTCCAGACCAGCTGTGAATAAAGAGTTCAGGGATCAGGCTGAACAGCAGCACATTGCAGCGCAGCAGAAAGCGGCTTTACAGGTACCAGAAGCATCATGTTTTGGAGTTTCAGAGTTCACCTGATGTTCATGATATGAAGTGTTTATGTGTTTTGATTTCAGCACGCTCATGCACACTCATCCGGCTTCTTCATCACTCAGGATTCCTCCTTTGGGAACCTCATCCTGCCGGTGTTACCCAGACTTGACCCCCTTGAGTAAATGAACATCAGCTCTAAGGACAGTATTAGCATTTAGTGAAAACTTAGTTCCCCTATTGATGGATGACTCTCATATTTCATGAATTGTTTGGTCAATTTTTTTAAGACTGTTGTATTGTTGTAGTTTTTTTTACATAAAATTATGAAAACTTAACCATTATGTGATATTATTTTTTTTTATGTGATTACATTACAAAGACTTAAATTGTCATATATATATATATATATATATATATATATATATATATATATATATATATATATATATATATATATATATATATATATATATATATATATACAGTTGCAATCAAAATTATTAGCCCCCATTTAATTTTGGATTTTTTTTTTTTTTATTTGATAATGTTTAACAGAGCAAGGACATTTTCACAGTATGTCTGATAGTATTATTTCTACTGAAGAAAGTCTTATTTGTTTTATTTCATTTGGACTAAAAGAAGTTTTACATTTTTTAAAAGCCATTTTAAGGACAATATTATTAGCCCCTTTAAGCTATGTTTTTTTCGATAGTCTACAGAACAAAGCATCGTTATACAATAACTATAATTACAATAGCCTAATTACCCTAACCTGCCTAGTTAACTTAATTAACCCAGTTAAACCTTTAAATTTCACTTTAAGCTGTATAGTCTTGAAAAAATGTCTAGTTAAATATTATGTGCTGTCATCATGGCAAAGATAAAATAAATCAGTTATTAGAGATTAAATTACAATAGTTATTAAAACTATTATGTTTAGAAATGTATTGAAAAAATCTTCTTTCTGTTAAACAGAAATTTGGGAAAAAACTGGGGTTAATAATTCAGGGGGTTTAATAATTCAGATTGCAACTGTATTTTTTTTAAGTCAATTTATGTCCTTGTTTAAGTCAGTTTATGACCATATAATGACTACAGTCCTTTAGAAAAGATTAATGTTCTCAATTCCAAACGCAAAAGTCAGATATAATACTCTTATGACTAATTAATATGGGTTTATTAGTAAAGATGTTACATATGTCTACAACAAAAAGGTTTCAAAGTCGAAAAAGCGAAAAAGGTTTCAAAGTCATCTAGGTTTCAAATATCATCTCCATAGGCTCAGCTTATAATACTTAAATTTTAGCTTCTTTTTATGTTCGTAAAAAAATGTAAATATTTTTTTTTTCATTTTTACAGTTTTGCTGGTATAATAATGCATTTGAATTTGAACTTCAAAACAAGTATGTTCCCTATAGCAGTGGTTCCCATTTTTTATTAATTTATTTTTTTGCCTGAGACCCCCTTTTCCCCTAGAAAATATTGTAAGATAGTGTAAGTAACATTATCACTCATATAAGTTTGTAGTAAGGATGACAAAAATGTTTGCTTTCAAACAAATGGTATGTTTAATGCTATATCTAGATATGTTTATGCACAAATTAACAGCCTAATGTAAAATATAAAAGCAAAACATCAGTAGGCCATTTGTAACTGAAATACGTAAGCCTTTGGACATTACATTGGCCGTATATTAGTTGCCAAATAGTTGCCAATTTTTTAAAAGCTTCTCGTCAATAGCTGTGACGTCCCTCATCATTTTGGCTGTGTGTCGATTTCATTTGCCTTGAGCTCAAAAAATGCTCTGGGCTTGTCGCGGTATTGAGGATGAGTCGTCTGCAAATGTCTTATTAATTTGGATGGCCTCATCCATTCGTAAGCAAAAACTTCAGGCAACTATCTTGGTATTTCCTGCATTTCGTGTTTCTAGTATTGCTAGCATGTGACCCGAAATGTTTGGAGCATCCTCATCTGGGTCCAGTAGGCTTGGGTCATTAGTATTAGCTGCTGATGGCTAATCACTAAGACTGTTTTTTTTTGGAGAACGAATTACAAATTTGTCTTTTATTTTATTTTTTGTTTATAATTTTTAAAAATTTATTTATTTATTTTGGTCATCCAGGGGATAAAATGAACAAAGGCATCATGATTATTGTCCTAATTGTCCTCTGCTAAACAGTGACACAGAGTCGTAAAAACAATGCACTTATATAGGAGAAAAACATTAAATATAATTGAATTAACATCTAAAAGTGCATATGTAAGGTGGGGAGGTGAGAGGTGGGGAAAGATGGCGAGTCGCATACCTAGTGACCTGGTCTCAAAGAAACCCAAATTCTGCAGTTTGACAGTATTTTGGGTGTTGATCAAACAAGAAGGGAAAGGCGGTAAATACGGACGAGACAATTTGCAAATTGTCCAATAAAAGGTGACCGTGAGAGACGAACCTAAGGCCACATACACAGTATTCAGTTTCTGAATGGTTTAGGCACAAGTCAACAGTTTGGTGACGCTGTCTGAGCCTTGCATCATATTTTTTTATTAAACACGGTAATATTGTACACCGAGGTAAAAAAGGGAGTAGGTTTGATGAGTTTGTAAAGCATTCATAGGATGCAAACTTCACAACTAGTTGAGTCATCAGGCTGGTACTTGTTTTTATGAATTCAAACACATACTATCTAATAGTGAAGTAATGTTTAAATGAACTGAATTGGTTTTGTGACAATGAGTCCTAAACACTGAACATAAGGCCCTGTTTACATGAACATAGGCATTTTCAAAATCACACTTTTTCTACGCAGTTTCACTGTTTGTTCACATAAAAATGGAGTATTGGGTGACTGAAACCAAAATTTTCTGATTTTCTGAAGATTTTCCGAAACTCTGGGTACAGTGAGGGTTAAGTTTTGCCCATAGACTGTAAAAGATATGGACATAGTATCCGTGAAGTCACACATAGACTTCTGAAAAACGCAAACGAATCTACAAACTAGGTGTAACCACCCGTCGCCATTTTGTTAATACAGATTGTAGCAATACCAAACAAGGGCAAAGTGGAGGAACGTAAGCTTAGCTACAGACGCCTGCTAGCATTTTGTTTAAAAGGGCTTTTCTTTGGAGAAACGCTTAATACTTTATTTCCTGTGACTCGTTTGTGTTTGGACCACGACTGCTTGGTTGTATACTATATCAATGAAGTGTTTAGACTTATAAAAACCCTTTTGTAATACATTGAGCCACTAAGCATTGCTCCTAGGACGTTTTTCTACAGGAGGAAAACACGAATAACTCCCAAACACTTCAAATATAGTCTATAGAAATCCAGGCATAGCACTGTTTGACAATGTTTCAGATGACTGTTCTAGAGCCTACAGCTAATTAATCTGTCAGATTCTGGAGTGCATTACAGGTCTAAAGAAAATAATCTTAAATGATATGAAATAAAACAAATACATTTATAGAGATAAAGAAGTATATAATTTCACTGACCTGGGAAAAGACGATGCACACTGCATGCCATATCATCTGATAGTTCCAAAAGGCAACTGACTGTGTAAAGCCACATAAAACAAAACAAAAATACAATGTATATGCCGAGTTCAGTGGCTAATCAGCCGGATTCAGCTGAGCTGAAGTGACGGCGACCAGCGATACATATGTCATTCAAGTGGCCTCGCCCTTAATTTTGCAGACTTAATATAACTAAATATAAGTATAAACGGATGAGTTATAAAATAATTCACCCCCCTCACAGTTGTCATGAAGGGTAATATTAGCTATATGAACCAAAATTGTTCCTAGTACCAAACACCTTTTTTTCTGCTGTAAATTTAGCCATTTTAACAGTGGGCTCAATATAAATTTGCTCTATTGTGGAGCCAGGACTAGCAGAGATTTTAGTTTTAGTTACTTCTGTATTTGCTTCACAAGGTAGAGTGGGAGGTTGCCGCTTGGTTTCGCCTTATATCATCAGAGTGTTTGCTGTTTTTTTTTTCTGATTGTCCAACATGGCTTCGTTACACAACAAACGTGTAAGACGTGAATGAGGAAATTTCCACACCTTCATCCTTCAGATGATCCAGACCAGACCCTCTCTTTAGAAGCATACACTGTCAAAAATGCTGGGTTCCACACAATTGATTTGTGTTGGGACAACATAAGAAAAATTACATTTTTACAAATTTAAGTGGATTGAACATAAATCAATAAAGGCCCCCCCAACCCCCCAAATAAATAAATTGTGGAAAAAAATCTAATTTCAAAGCAGTAGATTGAATATTTGCACATAATGCCCCTTCACAATGTGACATCACCACCTACTTGTCCAGCAATCATAATACAGCATTTTAATCATTTTATTTTGTGAACTAAGATCGCTTTGACAACATAGTCTCTTAAAAGATTTAACTTTCATTGTGTACTACATTGTTGCTGTGTAAAGATACCCCGAGCCATGTGGGAAACAAAAACACAGAAAAAGTTTTTTGAGAAACAACAAACTTTATAGATATTGAAGAGTTGCTTTTATTTGTGGTTGTATATTGTTTCTCAGCCTCGTGCCTCAGACACCAATATATAAAATAATACTTGTGTATGTTCAAGAATAGAGTACTGTATATCAGGCACATATGTTTAACAGGCACATATCCTTAATATATCTAACACGGACGCAGCTAACAATGCAACAACATCTGATAAGTGCTTACTACTTTGGAGAACATTTGTACGAACACAAGACAAGAATACAAGAAGAATAGCATATATTTGCTACATTTGTCTACAACATATATTAAACAACTGGATGGACATTTTAACATCATCAAGGTTATTGTTTTGGCGTAGACAGTAAAAGAACTTAAATTAGCAATGACTTTGTAACGTAGTTAGATGTAATACTGCACTGGACAATGAAGAGTATAATCGGACAATTGTAGTTATACAAATGACAGAAAGACTTGAAACAGTTGCATATACAATACATTCAAAAACAACAATCTAAACTTTATATACCTAAATAGACTACTAGAGTTTTAAGCTGCCATATGTTTGTTCGTAATGTTTAATACTTCCCACTTGCTGTCCTTTGTACTGTTAGATTCAGAGTAGTGTAAACACAGTGGCTTTGTGGCCCTTTGTTTGTCATTCCTCGAGAGACATCCAGTAGCATTTTCAGTTACCAAAATGGCAGTTGCTCAGCTGCTGTAAAAACTGATAGATGTACAGGATTGTGCTAAATTCTTAGGCACGAGTATTTTCACCAACAACAAAAAATAATTTTAAGACTGTTTAAACTACCTGACAAACTATTTTTAAGTGTACCAAAGACAAAATGCTAGGAAGGGTGCATACACTAAATGTTGATTTAATTTAGGGGCCGTTTACACAAAATTTTCAGGCAAAAACAGAAAACTTTTTTGTTTTACCTGTTTGTTTGTGCAACAATGTCATTTTTTTATATATTTTTTTTAGAACGTCGCCATTGTCATGTTCTTGTAAATACAGATTTTTTTTTGTAATTAAACAGTCATGTTATGCATGTTCATGGTACGTGTTTAGTAGTGATGAAACAAAGTATCCCGATATATTGTGATATTTCACATCGATACATTTTCGATACTCTGGCACCAAGTATCAATATGTATCTAAATGTACAAAAGATCTGAATAAGTATGGAACAATGTTTTCTTGTCCAAGCCGCTACTCATTTGAGAAAATATTCATTTATGGCCACTGTTTAGTCATATCAAACTTTAAAGTGATTTTTATATTAAATCATAGTGTAAACATCAGGCTCTGGATTCGCTGCATCACAAATACCAAAATTTGAACAATTTATTAAAAAAATAATCACTTTCTGGCCATCAGATGTTAGGATGGATATATATATATATATATCATCCAGGTATAGTTTCTGGAGGAGTTTATAAACTCACAGAGCTGGGTGCACCTCTGAAATGATCTAGTGGACTCCAGAGGCTCCAAACTAATTAACGCTGTTTTCCAAAATTCCTAAAGCACATAAAGCACAGCTATTCTTTCAATAAAATCCATGTTAGCATTTAGGATCGAAGCTAGAGTCACCAGGCAGACAGAAGCCTCGTTGGAATCTTCCACTTGTCTCAACCCTCAAAGACTCTCTTTCTGCTAGCTAGATTGCTTGTGCTTGCCCGCGGTCAGTGTTGTGAGACTTTATACAGGAACATGTGGAAACAAACTAATTAATTCCACCAAAATTTATATTAAGTGAATATATCAATAGGATATGAACATATAATTTGAAGGGCCTTGCTTTTAACTATTGCAGAATTTGAAAAAGTCTTGTTTAACTCTTGTTAAAAATAATGTGATAATAGCGTATCATAAGTTGGCCTGTGATTCCCACTCCTTTAGTGAAGTGTAGATTAAAAGCAAGCACAAAGAAATGGCAAACTATGTTGAGTGTTCTTGCTAAAGCTTTATAATAAAGTGAAAGTGTGGAATTGCTTGACATTACATCCCAAAGCGAAGACATTGCATGGCCTTTACTTTATGGCCTTTTTAGACAAGTTATGGCCTTTTTAGACAACGTTACAAAGTACTGTTTCAATTATGACACGATCTACATTGTAAATGCACTATTAGAAATATTACTTGCCTTACTGCAGCTTTGATGGTAGTTTTTTTAAGTGTCCTAGGGATTCAGTCATTCCGAGTTTGTTTTGTTTCTTAATGTCTTTCCACATGGACTGGATGATGGTGAGATTAGATGTCTGTGTGCAGCAGACTGCTGTGCATATAGAAATCTCACTAGGTTAGTGCACTAATTAGACATAATACTTGGAAATGTAAACTGGTGATTCCTATTGAAGCACTACACTGAAAGATAGAAATATCAAACTTAAAACCTTTTTTTATGTTGGTGAAGACTAGGCCGAAAGACTTTTGCACATTATTGAAAGCAATTAGTATATCTGCATATGGACACATAGAGGCTAAAAACACTGATCGGCTGATGGCACCACAAGGACACAAACAGGCTCAAGCCCTTCACGAGCAACTATCCTGAGCTGTGAGGCAAAAGGCAGCAGACAGGGAAAAGTTCATTTGAGGTTTTGAAAAACCCCCAGTTACTTGGCAAATAAAGATATCAACATATATCAATTTTAAATGGAAAATTAAAAAATGGCACTTGGTGTTTGGGTTGGCAACCAACGGTGGAGAAATCTCTCAGAAGGGGCTAAATAAACTATCCAAATCTCAGTCCCTTATTTAAGCAGTTCGTCACACAGATATCTTGCTCAGTTAACGGCAGGGAATTGAAGCAGGAATACTTGCATGTTCCCAAATTGGAAGACGGGGAAAACATATTTGGAAACAGCATGAATCAGCATACACAGCTTATTTTAAATGGAACAAATGGCACTTCTTGTTGAAAAGGTTGGCAATCCCTCGTGTAGAAATCTGTTGGAATCGGCTAAAAATAATTAAAACATCAGTTCCTTGGTTCGAGCAGTCAGACATATATTTCTTGCTGAATTAATGATAGGGAATTAAAGGCTACCTGCTTCTCCTATAATTGGGAGATGTGGGTAGAGTTTGGAAAACAGCAGTGCTCTGCATACAGAGCTCATTTTATATACTTCAAGGATGGCACTTGTCATAAAGGTTGGCGAACTCTTGTGTCAAAACCTGCTAGAATTGGCTAAATAATTTAAACATCGACTCCTTGGTTTGAACAGTCCAAAATAAATTTTACTTTTTAGGTCCATTTAGAATGTGACTACCACCTTTCCAAAAATAAATAAATAAAATGATGTAAAAAGTACTATGAGAAAAGGCCAATAGGTTATCCACTGGGTGCATTTAGAGCTGGATTACCTGAATCTCCTAAAAATGGAAGACCGGTAAGTGTTTAAGAAGCTTGTTTGGAAACAACAGAAGAGTTGTTTGCTACTAGAGGCTCAAAAATAATATTTCACCTTTAAGCTGAGTCAGTAGAGTCGAAAGAACCAGTAATGACAAAGTTGGTGCTGCCGGGATGGGAACTACCTGAATGGACGGCTTGTTGCCTGAGGTCATTGCAGATCAGAACTAGCTGATTGCTCTGAGCCTCGGACAAGCTACTGCAACTCTGATATACACTAAAATTGGTCTTTCTCCCTGGAATGTTGCCTTTCTCACACATGGTCTTGACCATCTTTGCTAATTTGTTTTTTCCCAGAGCTTGGCAGTTGTACCAGTGTAGGGCGGCAAGGTTAACCACGGGTTTGATAGACAGATAAAATGGGGCATCTTCGTAGAGCATGGCTTGAGGTCTGCGTTGAGCAAAATGCTTGTAGTCTTCTACTGGGCAGGTTTGAGGAGCGTGTGGAGTAGCATAGATCCGGCACTCAGTTGTGGATCTTCTGTTTCTGGCATTAGGGTCACTTAAATCCTGGTAGGTCCACTCTAGACACTCTGATCCAGTTTCTGTGGTGAGCAACCGCACATCGCCCCATTTGAGAGTGGAACTGTGGAAACCTGTACAGTGGCCAAAAGCCTTGGTGTTGTTGAGCCACACCAGGTTAAGCAGACCCTCAGGGTTGAAGCGACTCAGAAGCCCCCGTTTTCTCAGGAGCAGCTCATCAGCAAGGGTCAGTTTCATTGACTTGTGTGGTTTGTTGCCTTTACCTTTGAACTTGAGCTCCAGTTGCTTTTGCTTGAGGGCATCCTGGGATCTCTGGAACTCGCGGTCTCTTGTAATACTGTAGGCATACCGATGCTCCTTCAGATAGCGTTCCAGGCCACACTGATAGTTTGCCAGGCTGTTGGGCTCATACTCTGAGCCATCCCGTTGGCGAGCATCCACGAAGAAGGAGGCCAAGTAGATGTCTAACTCGTGGCAGGGGATGTTGTAAATTTCTCTGGTCTCGTTTGGATACTTTGAAACCAGGAAATCCCGAAAGTTGCGGAGAGCTGTTTGGGTGCTGCGAATCGTCTTCTCGTTCTGTTCTGGATACGCTCTCTCATCCATGTCTGCTGAAAGGGAAGAAGGGAGTGTTTTCATATATCATCTTTAACTTTGATTGAACTATTTTTTTTTTTAGAAAATAAGTTACCCAAAGGACCCTAGTCAGAGTTAAATTGGCATGAATGGAAATGTAGTTCTGTCTCTCGTTGAGAATACACATACACAATTTATTCAATTCTGATCTAAGTTCCACATTTAAATTTGATCAAATTCCCCTCTTATATTTTGCTATTTGACATCAAAAACTACTGGCCTGGCATGCATAATTCAGCAATTTAGTCATTTTGGAGATCCATATAAATTGGTTAGAAATTGATTTGGTAACAATCTCTTCTGTACACAAAGGTACAACTGGAACCGACTGTATCTCTTCCATCTTTCCAGCCTTATTTTTGTGTTATATTCAATATAAATAAGGTATACTGACAATTGTTTATATTATAGATTTAAAATATAACATTGATTTGCCTGTTGAGTTATTCCTAGTCAACAACAGCACAATGTTTTTTCAACAAAAAAAATCACACAAACACCAAAGTGGTTGACATTGTGACGTTATATTTATTACTCACATCATAATCATTGGACCCACTGTGCAGCGTAAGATAATTACACACCTATTTTTCACAGTCTTTGCAATCTTTTTACACAACACTAATCTGACACTTGAAAAAGAAGAGGTGGCACTGTAAAAATTACAAAGACCCACTGTAGTTTGTGATAGAAATAAGCATGCGATCATACAGAATGCTTAACACCGAAATAAATACTGGTCAGGCAAAATGACACTGTAAGGCATACAAAACAACTATGCTTTATTTCATTTAGAAGCCAAGATGATCAACACAACAACTGCTTGAACATATAAAACAACTATGCTGCCATATACTATTCACTTTGTGATTGAGCATGGCAACAATAAAAATCAAGGCCAAACCTGGAAATAGTGTTCAATTAGAGTGGTCACATCCACTGGAAATCTGAGAAAGTAAACATAAACTTTGTACTTTATTTGCTGACGATTGGTAGAAGTTCTCCTTTAGCTTTCATGTTTTTAATCTTGGCTTTAATGCTGTCATCCATGGCCTGTCGGCACCTGATGGCATAATGTGCCAATGTTTCCTCCTTTTCGTCCCATGGTGGAAGGGCGTGGAAGATTTCAGGGGCTGCCAAACTGAGCTCCGCAATGGCTGCTGTCCTGGAAATGGTGTTGCGGTCCACACCGACTCTGTCAAACGCCACTTTCATGGAGACGCTACGTCGGAACTCTTGCAGCGCAGCCATATATCGTGCAATAACCCCCACAACGTTTTTCACTGAAAAATAGTAACAACCTTCTTTAGTGAAACTCTACGGAATAAAGAATTGTTGCTGGTACTTAAAATTGTAGTAAATCCAGTCTTGCACAACTTACTTCGGACACGAGTGTTCTCGCCATCTCTGCTTCTCTTTGAGGAAATCTTGATGCTCCTCTGCCTTTCCAGTGGATGAAGCTCTACTTCCTCAAAAGAGTCAAAAAGGGCAGGAGAGTCGAATGCAGTGCCCTCTTCGGGAATGGAGGTAACAATCTGATGGGAACTGCCTGCCTCTATTTGACTTGATGAAAGTGTCCTCCTTTTATCTGCCAATGAGAGAAAATAAGACAATCTTTATCCAAATCACAACCATTCATATTTTACAGTCAAGATTTGATGGGATTTTAAGGAATAGTCACCTGGACGCAGTTGGTCCTGCAGGAAGTCACAGATGAGTTCAGCTTTCTTGGTAAGTTCCTGTTGAAGAAGCTCTTTGTCTTGCCTCAGGCTGCTGATGGTTTCACCCATCAACTCACTTTTGCTTCTCTCAGCCTGCAGTAGTGCTTTCAGTCTCTCTATTTCATACACAGCTGGAGAAACTGTTTAAAATAGAAACAAAGCTTTACCTCAGTATTTCCTACAATTACAGAAAAGATCTATCCAAGGATCTATCTAAATTGTTTTGTGGGTAAGTAATAATCTGTATCTGAAATCAAATTTAAAATAATTTGTGTAGAAAGGAAAATTGTTTCATTAGCAAAAGAATAAGGAAATAATCGAAAACGGTTATGTGGCTAATGGTGTTGGTGGAATGCCAATTATGGAAGCCTTTCGGGCAAAAATTTAAGTATTTTTAAAAAATTACCTCACAATTCTGACTTTTTTTCCTCCTGATTTAACGAAAACTTCAAAGTTTCAGCATATCAATTTAGAAGAGTAGCAAAAACAAGAAGTCTACTGTCAGTATTGTGAGATGTAAACTGGCGATGGCAATACAAAATGTATTTTATTTTCCTATATTTTTATTTTGAATATTTTAGAGTTTATCATGATATTTGTTTTGCAATTGAGAATTTAAAGGTTTATAAGTCGCAGTTCTGAGTTTGAATCTCACAAAATCAAATAAACTTACAATTTAAAGTAAATTTTAAGTCAGAATTTTGAGATGTTAAACTGCAGTTGCTATACTGAGAATGTCAGAATTGAGACAAAGTTAAAATATATTTTATTCTGTAGCAGAAACAAACTTTCATAGCCAACTAATAAGATTTCTTTATTGAACTACATGAGATGTTGATTAGGTCTAGGGGTATGTTTACGGTCAATTTTGACCATTCTAGAAGCCCATTTGTGAGGTTAGGCACTGATGAAAAAGCCTGGATCACAGTCTCTGCTCTAATTCAGGTCAAAAGGTATTCTCAAGTTGAGGTCAGGACTTTGTGCAGGCCATTCCAGTTCCTCCACACCAAAGTCATTATTCATTTTCCTTTTGAATCTTGCATTGTGGACTGGTGCACAGTCATTCTGGACTTTTCCCACAAAGTTGGGAGCACAAAATTGCCCAAAATGTCTTGGTATGTTTCTTTTACTTAGTATAAAACCTGATTAATACTTGTGCATTGAGTGATTGCTGTACCCCATGGTGAATCGCCTGCATGTAAGTGATGCTGTTGCAGGCATTTATGCTTCTGCGTTCAGTCTGTGCATCTCTAGCAATAACACTTAGAGGTTTCTATGTTCCATTGTGTCAAGTTTCTGTTTTCTTATGTTTTAGGTTAACGTGTACAATGCTACTGTAGTAGTTGAAACTTGCATTCATTTAAGGAAGAAAGAGGCGGGAACCGGCAAACGTTGAATAACTTTAATCATAAAGTACAAAACACAAAACAAAAATATCCAACTTGAGTTGCTTAACTGTTAAAAATACAGCCATTGGTTTCGCTCCACTTGCACTGCTCTCGGCCATGACCCCACTTGTCATCAAACCAAACACAAACCATCTTGCTCTCCCTGTCATGTGTAGTTACTTTTTTGGTGTGTGTCAGGGTATTGCAAAGGTACTGTATGCAACTTTGTAAAGGCCACACAGAATCTGCATGTACATGACGCAGAAGTATAAATTGGCCTTAAGAAGCAAAGCAACCCCTGAAAAAAAAAACCCACATCTTGTGCCTTCGCATTCTCCGTGAATTTACATAGACTATCTCTTCATAGCTGGGTTGTCATTGTTTCCAGTTGCTTTATTATAATACCACTAACAGTTGCCTTTGGAATATTTAGTTGTGAGGGAAATTTCAGAAATGGACTTGTTCAACTAGGGATGTAACAATATTGTAAATACTGTCATACTGCAATAGTAATTTTTTTCAATATTACCGTAGGCGCATGACTCAATAAAACTATATTTCTGAGAAAAGTTTGCTTAGGCGAATGAAGCTAACGGGAGGTATCGGGAACTACAATTCCCATCAGCCTAGGCGTGGCCATCATCCTTTGCAGTCTGATGTCACTACAGATCCAGTAATGCGGAAATGGAGTGTGTTGCTAGTAGCGGGGAAGAAAAAGAGCTGGAAATGATCGAATCTAAAGCGAGTTTTAACTCGGATGTGTGGAAGGATTTCGGTTTCTTTCTAATGCTAATTTGTATGTCATTGATATGTTCAGTGCTAAGGTAAATAAACACTTTTGGCACTTTTTTGGAGTCTTTTTATTAGTTTTGTTTTTCCTGTAAATTATTCAATAAATACCGTACCGTGCCATTCATACCGAGGTATTATCATATACTGTGAAATTCTGATACCGTTACATCCCTAGTGTCAACCAATCACACATGAATTGACTGAGCTCCTGAGACTTCTGGCAATATATAGTATCTTTCAGCCAAGTCATATCTCAGAAAAAGCCATTTCTATTTTCATGTCAAATCTGGAGTTGCGATCCAAATAATGCTTTTGGAAAACTTTTTATGTATTTTAGACCTTTTACACAACAATAGTGTCTTGGGACCCTGAAAACACTTTTGAAAACAATTTCCGCAATGCACATTTTTAAAATAACATCATTAATGTCTAAGAGGCAATCTATAATTATGCAGATTTAAGAAACAGATGACATTATGATTGCTATGTTTAGTCTCTAATAATATACTGACTCATATTTGACTACGGAAACACAGGTGGATTGTTTTTTTGCTATTTCTACCATGACCTTGAGTTTTTATTTATTTGTTTATTGTAGTTTTATTTTTAAGGTGAAATATTTCCTTATTTTCATGTTTATATTTCTTTTTGTTCAGTCGATGTTTTTTTTCAAATAATTAAATCGATTTAGCTACCTATAATGAAACTGAATTAAATACATTTGTTTAAAAATATATACCACCTTTATTTTCACATCAAATCACTTGTAAAACTAAGCAATACAACACACTGAATTAAGAAACAGTCCCTTAAACATTAAATATAAAAGAAATCATGCAACAAAAAGCTGGATGATTTATTCAGAAGTAGAAATTTATCACAGGCAACATTTGTTTTATTTGATTTTATTGTAACGCTTCATAAAATGACCACTATGACATAATATAAGACCACTTAAGAGACATCAGAATGAACACGTATTTACACACTTAAAACAAATTTGTAGAAGTACTAAAATAAATGTCAATGTTAGTATGCAGATGAAGAAAAGACTGACCTTTCATAACCACACTA